GAAGCTGTCGAATGATTCGTATACGGTTAAAGGTGTTGATGGTGATTGTTGATGATGATGTTGTGTTGATGAAGTGTTGATAAAGGTGTCAATGATTGTTGTTGAGGTTGAGGCTTGAACGCAGGTCCTTGAAGGTTGAGAGTATATAAAGTTAAAAAGAGGTGATTTGGAACCAAGGCACTGGGCGCTGAGAGCACTATGCTTCAACCAGGAATGGAACAGGGGACTGGGCACTTGGTATGATGATGATGATATGAAAGAGTTATGAATATATTGCGATAAAATAAGGGTGGTTATATAACTGTGACTGGTAATATAATGGGTGGTTGAGATGATCTGGTCCACTGGTGGGATGATGAAAGGTACAACTGGCAGGCAGAGGCCTCCTTATATAGACAAAAGTGAGGGATTTTAGCTACAGGGTACATGCAGCTGAGGGAATTTAGCTGGCCTGAAAATCCAATGAGGGAATTCAGCTAGTCTAGTGCATGCAGGTGAGGGAATTTGGCTGGTGAGAGCACAGCCTTGAGGGATTTTGGCTAGCCTACAAGGTCCTACTACAAAGGAATGCATGTGCACTTACAAAGGAATTCAATATGAAATATAAGCCAGTAAAGGAATTCAATATGAAACAAAGGAATTCAATATGAAATATGCATCCAGTATTCAAAATGAGACGTGGTCAGGATAATAATAAAGAAAAGCTCCTGTGACAGCTTGAGATAAGTGTAACTTCTGAACTAGTAGAGATAAGAGGGTAGTTGTAGTGAGTGACTAGGGGTTATTTTACCTCAGGAATCCATTTTTGATTTTATTTTTACCCTATCCCCAATATTTAGAGACATAATAATAAATTTTTATATTTTTGGCGTAGAAACACAGGAATAATTACCACACCGGTCAACGAGGATGTACCTCGTTGATCGGAAGGAAACCCTTCCAATCAGGGAGGTACATTGACCTCTTTGACCAGAAGGGGTTCCTTCTGGTCAAGACTCATGGGGGCGGTACCCGGTGTGGAACTTTTCAAGCTAAAGAAAAGAGCTTAGAGGGGAAAAGAACAACTACACAGGGGATAATGTGAGTTGAAGACTTGGATGCTGATGAAGCTGCCCTCTTGTAAAGGCTTGGGAGAGAGTTACACTAAGAATTAAAGAAAAGGTGTGGCTATTTCTGTGGGTAATCGTAGTATGAGATTTATTACTGATGTCTTGTACAAGTCACCTGCTGAGAGATTGAGGATGTGGGGGATTCTGGTAAGGATGGGGCTCTGGGGAATAATGGTTTCTGGGTCAATTTCTTATCTTCTGGGGGAAAATCAACAATAATTACTTCTGGTAACTACTAGTAAGTGATGTCTGCTAAGTAATTATCTGTTTACTTCTCTAATACAAGCATGGGGAACAAATTAAGCCGGAAAGGGTATTCTCTATATACATGTGGATGGTTCTGATCAGATACTAGTGGTAAAATATCAGCTGATGTAAGAAGATGGTATGAAATAAGTTGCATCTGAAAGACCATTGGTTATGAAATAATTGTGGCTGACAAATGTGTAGTGTGAAATAAACATGTTGAAAAGGAGAAAATCTGAAGTAACTTCTGTTTGTGATAAAACTAATATGTAGTGAAAAAAGAAATGAGATAATCAAAGACTGAAATAAATATTCTGAGGTGAGATGAGAATTCTGTGTGGTGAAATATATATGTAGGTGATATAAGCAATGAGTAATGAGTTGAAATGAGACGTATGATGAGAATGTAGGTGATATAAGCCATGTGTATTGAGTTTGAAATGGAATGTAAGGATGAAATACTTGTAGTATGAAATAAATGTAGAATAAAATGAATGTAGAATGAAGTAATTTATGTATGAAAAGAAGTGGATGATGAGTGAGATGAGATGACAATATCTGGATGAGAAATCAGATGTATGGGATGAAACAGTATATGTAGTATGAATAAGTGATATCTGAGATGAAATAAACAACATTTACTGAAAGATTATTATCATAGAAAGAAGGTACTGAGGGAAGACTAATTTGTATCTTGAGATGTGTGATATGTAGTATGTTGTAGCTATGTAGTACTATATATTATGTAACCAAACTATGTGTAAAAAATACTATTTTGTAACCTTCAGAACTGGATACAAGATAATGGGTTATGTAGCATATACATATCTGGTTGTAATAACATGAAAACTACTGTAAATAGCTATTTTGTACTATGTATGACCTTGATTGGTCTCACCACACCGGGTACCTCCCCTTTTTTTGCCAAAAAACCGGCACCCGGCACCGCCTGGCGGGTGCGAGGCGGGTGCGGGCGGTACCCGCCGAGCGGTACTAGGTACCTAGCAACGGGTACCGACGAACGATCTCTATTGGCTGTAGATTCCATTTGTCCATATCTTGAGTCCTTCCTTGATAAATAATAAAATTTTGAATTTTCTCCCTTCATACACAGGAATAATGACCACACTGTGTGTTATGATGATGTCCACTTGAGTTTGATTGGTCTCATCAGCAACACCAGAAGTGTTGATGATGATGGAATGGCACCGACTTTGGGGTGAAAACTGTGGAGCTTCATAATGAGTTTTCCTCCATTAAAACATTAGTGTCTTTGCAATCCAAAACCTCTGGCCAACTCATTTCTCCTTCTCAGATTGATTGATTCTATTAGTAAAGGCCAGAAATTCAGATATTTCAGCGTTGGGATGTAAAATTGACTGATCAATGAAATGCTGACATAGAGAAACAGGTGCTACTTACCCTTGTTATACTTTTCCCATTTGGTTGATAATGGCAAATGGCTCCATGCAAGGAATTGGCCATAGATAATAGAACCCCCATTCTTTCAGTTGCCAAGGAATGATCTGGGAAAAGGTTTTCAATTCATGGGTTTGATCTAGTTTTATTACAGACATTTTTCAATCTATGGGCCAATTGGAAAGAAAAATGAGAAAATAGTTCAAAATTCCATTCAGAAAAGTGTAGGGCCATGACAATTCAGTTTTTTTGATGGATAAATTTGGAATTAATCACTTGGGTACAATTCATCCTTTGTCTTTTGAGGAGAGCATTCAAGAGATGCCCATGTTGATTTGCTGGAAAATCCTGACAAATCAATCCAAACACCACAGTGGCTTGAATTTCAAGAAATATAAAATCATTTCCATCAATGAGAAAAACCTTTCTCAGGAAATTCTTCACTTGGGAAAAGACAGCTGAACATGTCAGGATCATTCATGGTGAAATTGATGAATCCATTATTTATTCATCTGGATCTGTGAAAAACCTCATGCATCTGCTTGCATGATCCCTTAAAATTCATTCCAAATTGGATGCAAGTATAATTGAAAAGTTTTTAAATTGTAATTTTAAACACAGTGCCATGTAGGCATAAACATGCAAGTGATGGTGATGAATAAATAGATAATTCTTCCTCCAACACAATTTAAGAACAGTTGAATGCTATTTCTCAAAATCTTTCAAGTGTTCTGAGGTTCAAGCTCCAGTTAAACAACTCAATGAATTGTTCAATCCTTAATTTGTGAGATTTGATTTCATATCTAATTTTGTGAGCAAACAAAATCTACAAATCGGATTCAAACATGTAGGGAAATATGGAACTTACCTATGAACACTTTCTTTTTCAACTTAAAAATTGTCAGCTCAAATTAATTTCAAAACAAATTCCTGAATTAATTATTTCTCATGCTAGCAACCTCTGAAACATATTATCCTATCTTTTTAGTAATTTTTGATACTTGTTCAAGAATTGAAAACTTCCCAAATTACTTGAGATTCTGGAAATTTGCTTCAGGTGACTGAATGGATAAATTTGAAAATCAGAATTGAAATTTCCATGAATGGCACATTTTCAACAATTGAATTTTTCCTCCAAACAAAAAAAAAACGCTCCAAATCTCTGGAACTTTTTGTATATTTAAAGATTGAATCCCAGGAGAATTGCTGCCGATTAGCAGGATGATTGAACATAAACCCAAACATATCCATAATACTATAGCAACTTATGTTTAAGAACAATGTGGCATTTACATTTATCCATCTTTTGTATTCCAAATGAGCCTTGTTTCATGGATGAAATGGAATGAGAAAAATTGAACCACAAATGATTGGAGATAATCTGAAATGAGGGCCATAGGTGATTCAGATTGTTAGGAAATATAAATGAAGATCATTGTATTTATTACTCTTTGCGGCCAAAAGAAGCTGGGTCAAGATGTGTTTTATGAACCTTTGAGGATAAACCCCTTCCAACATCATATTGAATCAAAATAAAAAAACCAAATCTACATTGATGGTTGCAGTCAAAGATCAAAATTAAGCCATGTAAGGGGGGTAAACTAATTTAAGAACCATTGGTCCTGAATTTATGTATACAAAGGAATAGAAAAGCACCAGAAGAAGATCAGACTGTTCCCCTAGACAGCTGGCTTTGGGGAAGATTATTGGGAAGGATGTAGAAGCAGTTTAATTTCATTTTCCATCCTGCTACTGTATGTTGCCTTGTAGAATCTTATGCGGCATTCTCATCTGAGCCATCACGGTCGTGATCTTCCCTTGTTGGATCCGCACCTTGAGTTGAAAATGAAAGCATTGCGTCTCAGCTCTCTTATGGCTCTGCTGGCATGGAAATGCAGCCGTCATGATGGAGAAGGGAAACTCACGATCCCGCTGTTTGTTGGCATGAGAAGATGATGCTAAAGACAAGCCTACCCGCTCATTCTCCGATGCGTATTCACCTGAGGTAGTAATGACAGGGGGTTAGTAATTGGAATTGGAATGCTATTTATCACAGTTTGTTCATAAGGAGGAAGGGTTATTTACGCATGCGTTTCCTGGATGAGACCAACGATGAAAATGCAGAGGAATCCCGCAACAGGTGCGCCTGACCTTGCCCTTCGTGGTCCGTTAGGTGCGTGAGGGCATCGTGTTCGTGCGCTTCCAGGTCTATATCATCAGATAGTTGTTCTTGGTGCCATTGGAAATAATCGGTTGAACACGCTGGGCATATGTAAGTCGTCGATCCATGGAGCCATCTGTTCAAGCAAAGCTCATGGATGGGTTTGCCACAACCTGGGCAGTATGGAGAATCGAGATTAGAGGAACAGCTCGCGTTGAACAAATCAAACAATCACCGTCTTGCTAGGCCCGTCCCATTACCCCAGATTATAAACGCATTTCAGCTAGCTTTCTGCGCCGTTTTAAATGCACAAGACAATAATGACCTACATAAGAAATATCTCTCGTAATCTCTTCCTGTCTGGCTCTCTCATTCTGCAATTGTATCCGATTCTGTTCTTCTATTTGCCTCTCACGTTCTTTTGCTTCTTGAAGCATTTTATGCTCTTGGTGCTGTATCACAAGACTGTGATCTTCTTCTCTGCACAATGGACATACAGGGTTCTCTATAGCCCATCGATCTAAGCCAGTCTGATGAAAGATGTGACCGCACTGTAATTCTTTGACACCCTCCCGTCCCAGGTTCTTTTGACAAATTGCACACTTGCTAGATTCTTCCTGATAGAACCAACGGCAAGAAAATTAGGAAAGAATTCAATCAATTTAACAAAATCAACCCAGAAAGATGAATCATGGGTAGCTTTGGTTCAAATGGTACAAGATTTCAGAGAGACGTACGGACTTGAGAGAACCTGACAGGTCGTGACTGGTCGAATGTTCGACCAATTCTTTGTCTCTCGGAAGATCTCTGGCTTCAGAAAAAACTTCTTCAGTGGCAATAGATTTTGATCCAGGAACAAGAGCTGCTGCTTGTGGAAGCTTTTGAGGCATAGAAGATTAGAATATTCTTCAGCATACAGTTTCTCTTTCGGTAAGACAATATGACCTTCAGATGGAATATTTATTTACCAAGTTAGTTATCAAACTTGAGGAAAATATTGGAAGTATGCTAGAAATGAATTTTTGAAACTTCATTGATCCCAATATTAGAGTTGAGGCTGGCTGCTGAAATTTACAATGTGTCAAGACGATGGGAGAAACCTTTGGCTGGCAGGAATGTTAACAGAGGCTGAATATCCTTGATAGATTTTTTCGTGATCTTTGTCTCAGCAAATCAATCTTTTATCACATCCGAAACTTGTGGCCTCAAGGTGGGGTTGAATAACGCAGCACTCAAGGGCTCGACGATTAAAAGTCCATCTTGAGTTTTGCCGAGATCTGTGAAAATTCACGGGTTAAACACATGATCATGGCCTGTAAATTCTGGTAAAGTAGGGAACTCCTGGCTGCGCAGTGCGCTGCACAAGGAACCTACGTTATCCACACACGAAGCAGTGACCTGTTACTTGCCATGAAATATAGACCCCATGCACTGTGCCAGATGAAAAAGCTGGATAAAATCAGAGGCTTTTATGACAGGGGCCACACATTCACAATTGTAAAATGGTAACTCGTTCACGGGACTAATGAGAATTCATGATGCTTGGTACCACTCAACCCAACGCTACAAGTTACAAAATAACCAGACGATTGATCTTCACTTTTTTTTGGTAATGAAAAACATGTCAGTTTTGTTGGATTACATCATGCTCAACAGAAACACTCAACAACAAAGAAACCACGTATAATGATGTTTCAAGGATAAAATTATAACAAAACTATAAAGCTCATGAATAGCTAGTAAATACTTTTATAAAGTATCTGAAACATATTGGATCATTTCCCATAGCCTAAATTGATTGACTTAGAAGGAGGTGCTCACATTGATTGACTGGTGAAGAGTTGATCTCTCAATTAATTCTCATTAGCAGATGATAATCAGGATTTTGTTGTAAATCAACAAATTTTACACTTCAAAAAGTCCTACAATCTTATGGGAAGAAATCAATCAATCAAAAAAAATATTTTGCTAGTGCAAGTAACCCCATTGTAGACCCTGTCTTGGGTAACCATTGAATTTGATTCAAGTGATCCCAAATCCCCAGAGAGGTCTGAGTAATTCAACCTTTCCACTTTGAATAATGTTAAAGATAAAAGACCCTTGGATATCTTATTTCCAGGAAGTGAGATGAGGAATTAAGTACAGCTCCGTTGTGCAGCAGCTTGCTTTGACTTCATTTTTTAGAGTACCATCTTTGAATTAATACATCTCATCAGGACCGCAGGGGCCCCACAATATGGATGTTGCGACTGTGAGGAATGAGAAAAAAGTATACAGCTATGTGGTTAAGAAATCTTCAAGTGACACTGATGAAATGGGGATGAGTCCAACCTTTCATCCCTATTTTGAACATTTTGTTAGATTTCCTCATTATGAACACGCCTCTATTAGTTTGGACTACTCTGAAGCAAATCTTGATCAATCGAACCCCCAGGCTCCAGCAAACAACAACGGAGGACGAGGTCTGTATTGGAACTCAGACTGTGAAAGTGTGTAGTTCCCATACAGAAATAGACTAAGAGTCTCCCTCGGAGGTATCTCCCGAGTCCCCTCAGGTGCCGTGCTGCGGCGAGTCAGAGGGATGTAACAGTCATGTTACAACACCCCCCCTCTCGCCGCAGACGCCCTACTACATACAACATCGTAAGACAGAGAAACAAAAGATAAGAAACCAAAATATGAAACCAAGAAAACAGGAGCCCAGTATTTTGGGAAGAAAAAAAACAATAATAACAAGAAAAGATAATAAAGGAAAATATTATAGACATCCCATAATCTTCCCACGCAGATCATTGAAAAGCTCTGGTGATAAGCATTTGGTAAATACATCCGCCAATTGCTCCTTGGTCCCAACCCACGTTAGTGTTGTCTTCTTCTGGAAAAGGGCCTCATTGGTGATGTAGAAGTCTCTATCTGAGTGCCGTGTCCGCTTATTCGAAGCATCATCTGTGGCCACACGTACAGTTGATTGATTGTCGCAGTGCAAGTGACCTACAAAATCAAGTTTCAGAATATCTTTGATAAGATGGCACACCCAAAGCGTTTGTCTTGTTGCCACACCTAAAGCCATGTATTCAGCATGACATGTTGAAGATGCAACAGATTGTTGCCTACGTGCTACCCACAGAACAGGGCAGTTGAAAACCGTCATGAAAACTCCATATGCCGACCTTGAGAATTCTCCTCCCCACGAAGCGTCGCAGTATGTTTTCAGGGGCTTGCTGTCAACCTTGGGGAAAAGTGAGAGTCGAAGATTCCTTGTACCAGCCAGGTAGTTGATTAAATGTCGTACTCCCTTCCAATGGATTTCCCCTGGTTTTGCTGCAAACCTAGCCAGAAGATTCACGGCATAGCAGATGTCGGGTCGAGTTCCTACCGCCAAATAACTTAGAGAGCCTATAACAGACAGATATTTTCCGGTCACGGATGGATCTCCTTCCGGGTCAGTTAGAGCGTTATAATTAGCCGGCAGTGGGGTTTTTGCCAACGACACCCCATCCCATTCTGATTCTAAGATACTATCAATCAAATCCTTTTGAAAAAGTTGAAATCCACTATCTGTCCTTACCACATTAAGTCCAACAATTGAGTCGAGGGAAGAGGACCATTTGATCTTCAAAATGTCCTTCAGATCGCTTTCCAGTTTTTTCAGAAGAGATTCATTCGAAGCCGTGACTACGCCGTCGTCCACATGAAGCCATATGACACCTTGTTCCTGAGGGTGTCGCAGAATGTAAAGGCTATTGTCGTATTGGGAAGGAACGTAGTCGAGTTTATTGAGGACTTCCCTCAGGTGGAGCCACCAGCACCGTGCAGCTTGACGCGTCCCATATAGTGCCTTCTGGAGTAACAGTCCATGACCTGCCGGTACCTCTAGTCCTTCCGGTGGTTTGACCCAAACTTCCTCATCGATTGGTGAATTCAAGTAAGCTGCAACAAAATCAAAACTGTGAACTGGCCATTTGTTAGCAGCTGCAATACTAAGCAGAACACGGAGGGCCACAAAAGTAGCTGTTGGGGCAAAAGTCTCATTGAAATCAACACCCGAGACTTGAGTAAATCCCTTCGCCACAAAACGCGCTTTAAATCGGATCCCGGAACCATCAATATCGGGTTTGGTTGCAAACACCCAGCGTCCATTCAGTGCCTTCTTGTCTGTTGGCATCAGGCGGACAAGCCAAACCCTCATTTTCTCTAAGTTGTTCAGTTCGACCGCTATTGCCTTTGACCAAGCGTCTTTTTCTGGAGATTTCATTGCCTGTTTGAAAGTTTTGGGAACTTTAATAGCATAAAAATGGCAAAGCTCAAGAATCTTGTCAACTATCAGTTCCTGGTCATGGAATTCAATTTCCCTAGAGAATTCCCCCAGCTGCATCAGGTTCATAACAAAATCCACGCTCATTTTCTTGGCGTCCACACTAAGAGATGGGTCGATGTGATTTTCTGGCTCAGCGGGTACAGCCGAGTTGTTGTCCAAGTCGTCACCAAGTTTCCCAATTTTAGTGAAATGGCTATGTTCATTGTCGACAAAACGAACCAGTGCGGAGTTAACAAAACGTTGTTCTGCAGGAATCCAGAACATCCAACCCTTGCTCGTCTCCAAATGTGCCACGACCTGGCCTTGCAACGCCCGAGTGTCTAATTTTAGGTGATTCTCGACTGGGATATGAACGTAAGCATAACTTCCAAAAGCACGGAAACGATCAAAATGAGGTTTTATTGAAAGA